GGTGCTGTGGGATCTGTGCTTCGTGCCCACTCGGTGCTTTAGAACAGACTTTCTGTCCACTGTGCGTGTCCAGACCTGGGCATGTGTGTGAAGTGGCCAGCATTCAGCCCACACACACCGTAACGACACCCTGGCCTGCCTGAGTGGCCCTCAGAACTAAGCGACTGGGCGTCACGATTGCCCAATGCCGAAATTACAGGAAAAAGAAAAAACAAAACAGCAGTGCAGGAGTTTGGAGTCTCCATCAGAGATCTTGGGACCCGCTGTTACAGAACGGCAAGTCCATTAACGGGACGTGGGGTGGTATGAAGGCCAGACAGGAAGCAGGTACATTTCCTGCCTCCATTTCCCGGATTCAGGAGCTCCAATTTCCCTGCATTGGGATCTCCCTCAGACTCAGGTCCCCTCAGAGGACTGCGGGGTGATGGGGAGTTCCAGCTAGTCAGGGGCCTTTGTACTTGTCCCAGCTGGGGGGCGGGAGTTGTGGGGGGATGGCCTTATGTTCCATGGCCACTCTGGGCTTCAGTTTACCCATCTGGGAAGTGAGAGGGGCCTCATCTTCACCTGTTGGGACCCATAGAGGGTCTCTGGGTCCTCATCCTTCCCCACAACTAACCCAGACAACAGGCATCTAATGTGCCTCCAGGACCCGCACAGGGCTAGCTGGGCACGTGAGAGGCCAGAGCTCAGGACCTAGAGGCCCTCCGAGTCCGTCAGCCTCCAGGATCCATTTCTGATTGCTCCTCGCTCTCTGTGCCCCGAAGCACGGCACAGAGGTGCTGCACAGGCTGGTAGAGTGGTGGGCTGCTGAAGACCACCCCCCGCCCCCCCGAACTCTCGAGTCAGACCTGGAGGCCTGGCCCTACTGCCTAGTATCTCTGCAAGCCTGTGCAATGGCCTGCCCTTTCTGAGCCTCAGTTCCTTAGCTACAAAAGGGAGCAGCTGTTGGCCCTTCTGTTGAGGAGCCCATGGCCCAGGAAGCTAACGTGGGCAGGACCACACTCGCCCAGTGACCAGTGGCCTCCAGTCCAGCCCAGCGCACTCAGAGGCGGAGCAAAACCCCGAACCCAGTGTCTTTATCTAAAATAGACATGGACACCATGGAGAGTCCTCGATGGAGCTGGATCTCTTGACTCAGCGGCCAGCAAGTTCTCTGTGGCTTTGGAGAGGTCACACCTCTGTGCCGGCCCCCCTTTTTCTTCTCTGTACATGAAGGACATTGGAAAAAGGGGTGGCAGAATGCATCAGACCACCCAACAGGCAGGTGGCTGCCCGGCAGGTGTGGTTCTGCCTAAGCTTTAAGTAAGGTTGCCCAGCCACCCCAGTCTTGCACGTAGTTTCGCACCTCTCAGGGGTGCTGTCTGTCCTGTTCATCTCCTCCGCGGCATGCTGGGAGGCCTAGCTGGGCAGCACCTGAGGCAGAAAGCCTGGGATGGAGAGAGGGGGGAGCTGGTCGGAGCCCCATCCTGGCTATGCAGGCTTCTAGACACACTTATTTTGGGTTCCTCAAAAGCTTTCAGCAAGTAGAAGTCAGAAATGCCCCACAGGGGAGTTAGTCTGGGTGGGAGACCTGGTCAGTGTGACCAGCTCTGAGACTCCCTCCTCCTCCTGCCTTCCGCCACAGTTTCCACCTGTCTGCTGGATCTGCTAAGACTTAAGGAGAGAGAGAAGCCCCATCCCGACAAAGCAGAGAAGATTCTCTTTTAAATGTGCCCGCTTTGTAGCCTTTGAGTGGGTAACAAAGTGAAGACCATGAAGTCCGTTCTATCGAAATCCGCCTGTAGGTGCCTTGTTGAGAGTGCGGACGGGGAAGGAAGACAGGACCACCTTCTCATGGCCTCTCGAACACAGGGCAGCAGAGCCCGTGTCTTCTCGTGGGGGTGGCAGCATGGCTGGCCTTTGCTTTGCAGAAGCAAGTTATTTCCTGCACTTGGCCTCGTTCTCTGCTCTGTGTTCCTCCTCAGCATGTGTGTGGTTCTCGCTGTGCTGCTCCACAGTCTCGAGGACACAGAATGAGTGACAGTGCCAGGCTGAGAGCAGAAAGCAAGGAGGCAGAGGACGGAGCTTTGCATGGGTGTGGGCAACCCATTGGGGAATGGTGGGTTTGAGACTGAGACTCTGAACCACCCATAGTACTTCCAGTGGGGCGGGGCGGGGCGGGGCGGGGCAGGGCAGGAGGGAGGGAGGCAGAGCATGGTCAGCCCCGACTGACAGGAGAGGAGCTCTGTGCCCAGTGAAGAGGTGCTGACTTGAACCTTCACCAGCATCAAGACTGTGGTGGGCTTTCTCTCTGGGTAACTAGTGGGCCTGACCAGGATGCTCTTGGCCTTCGGTATCTTGACCCCCAATCAGCTCCAAGTCAGATGGCAGACGTCTGAGCGCTGTCTGCACTCGTTCGGGGACCAGAGTCCAATGAGGTGCATTGGACCGAAAGGTGCATTGGACTGAAACGTGCATTGGACTCTGGTCCCAGAACAAGTGCAGGTGGCACGAGTTCGCTCTCAAGGGCAGTGAGGACAGAGCGAGGCTGGTCAGGGAGGCCCCGGCCCCGCCCTGACCACTCAGCACTCAGGTGTCTGCCCTCTGACTTAGAGCTCTGCCCTATGAACCCCAAGGCCTCGGGAACAGTCCAGGCCCTCAGCTACAATTCCCAGGTTTGAGTGTCAGCCCTTCATAAACTTTGACATCAGCTGAGACCTCTCCAGAGTGCCACGGGTCCCTGGTGCTTTACTCACGTTCACGCTAAGCAAACCTCCCCCGACCGTTGGCGTTCGCAGGTGCAAACGGCTGCCCAGGCCTGGCTGCCCATCCCAAGGACGCACGTGTTACCAGGAGGGAGATGAAGGGCAGCGAGGAGGAGGCGCTTCGCTCTTGCCAAGAGCTGGGGAACCGACAGAAGGCCTCTTGCCCCCTCTTGGCAGCCGGACCTCACCCATGAACCCTCCTTCTCTGTTCTTTTTAATTTTCTCTTTTTGGGGGTTGGCTTTGAATTATCTTGTTTTGTTTACATTACACCCAAGTTTCGTGGTACAAAAGACTTGCAGGTGCAAATATGTCCCGCCTTCATTAACTTCCCCTCCCTTTTTAATTTATGTGATTTCAATTTTCCTTCCCTGTACTGTTAATTAGGGGACCCTCTAATCAGTGCCATTATCACAGTGGTATTCATGTTTAGGAAAGCCGCTAAACAAATGCTTGCAAAATTGCTAAATGGCTAATTAATGTCTGTTAATTAAGAAAATTGCTCATGGTAACAAACCATGCCGTTGCTGGCAGCCGCTAGAAAGACACACACTTGTTGAAATTAGTAGCATGGCAGGTAGGGGAACATCTGCTCCTCGGAGCTTTCCGGAAGTGAGCAGCCCCGTTCGCGGCCAAGAAACTCCCGGGCCTGTCCTCAGTGGCACCCTCAGGTTCCCAGACAGCCCCTGTATCTGTCCACGCACACCTTTTCTTTGTGTCCCACGCCCACCCCTCTGCCACCTCCCCAGCTCTAGCTGAGGCTCCTCCACTACCAGGAAGCTGGTGGCCTGGCTTGGAGGGAGAGGACTGAGAAGGAAAACCTTGCTATGCATCTCCCCCTTTCTGGGCCTTAACCACACCCATCTCCCATGCGTGTTTTGAATTGTTCTTAAAAGCAGCTTCCAAGGACAGCAGCCCAGTGGTGGGTGGGAAGAGCCCACTGGGGCGTGGCTCCCCACCCCTGGCTCTGGCTCCGACTCTGAATGGCCTGGGCGAGCCAGAAGCACTTCCAAGGTGGACTTCCATCCCATTTGACTGGGCCCACAGTGGATGGCTTTGTGACCCGGTCCACAAACAGCGAACGTGTGTGCACACCAAGTAGAGGTTTATAGAAGAGCTCTGCCTCAGGGCACTCAAAGCTCTCTAGTATTTTCTAGTCTTTTTTTTTTTTTTTAATTATTTCAGGTTTTTCAAAAATAATGGTCATAACCTTCTGGATTGATTTCATCACCCACTGAAGCGTTGCAGCTCATGGTTTGACCAACTCCATGGTTTCATTGAAGCCATCACCCATCTCTTCTGGGAGGAGTTTAAGTCAGCGTAGCCCAGGGCCTCAGGGATGGCTTGGAACTGGGTGGCTCACCCGATTGCTGTGGAAAACCCAGCCCTTCCACCCACCCAGCAGTCGGGGACCTCCAGCCCTGGCGCACTGAGCCTCTGCCCATGCCCTGCCTCAGTTTGAACTCCGAGCTGCAGGGGTGGGTGAGGTGGGCCTGGGACCCACAGGACTTGTCCTGGCTCTGCTGCTTACCAGCTGTATGACCGCGGCCAGGTCTCTTCATCCCATGAGAATCAGTGTCTTCACTGATAAAATACAGTCGAGAAAGCTCCCCCCCCCCCAGTGGCCTTCCTGAAGTGTAGGTGAGCTCAGGAACCACAGCGCCCAGGTGCGCCTTTAGGAGTTTCTGTTCCTCTCATTTCCTCGTGGGTTCAGGCGATGGTACCACTTGCACCGCCACCCCTGTGCCCCCAGTGGACTCTCCACCCATGCCTCTCGCCGCCCTTGGTTGACCCTGCCTCGAGTACCTGCCGCCTTATCTCTGCCTCCCCCAGACTGTGGGCTCCTGAGGGCAGGGGGTCCCTTGGCTCTCACCACGTCCCTGCAAGCTGCCACGTGCTTTGCTGGGTCCAGGTGGAGCCCGTCTCGGCCAACGTATTTAACATGGCAAACTCTGCTCAGATGGTAGGCTGTGTCGGGGCCTTGCTCCTGTGTGCTTTGACAACGGTGCTTCATTTTATTTTTTGTTCTTTCAACCCCCTGTGAGTGTATTGATCAGCTTCTCTCCCTCCACGCTCCGGTTTACGCCGCGGAGCCGGGACCTAAGCAGCAGCTCCACCACCTCCCCGCCAACCAGAGCCCACCCCCGCACGCCCGCCGCCCGCCCTTCGTTTTGGTTTAATTTTTGTTCTTTTAAGCTTCTTCTGCGCTTCTCCATGTGCTGTCATCTCTACCCTGCCTCTACTGTCTGGCCTCACAGGGTCCTCCGGGGTCACAGCCCTCGCCGCACGCACAGCCTCCACCTCACAATCCCAGCAGCATGATGGGACCCCACAGTCAGGTAAACGCACTGTGGCCCCCCGCCCGCCGGGGGGCGCGGGGCACGGAGGAAGGAGAGAGCCCGCAGAGGAAAAACAAAAATCAAAATGTGCTCTAGCCATCGCCTGCGAGTCTTTATTGACCGATTATATTAAAAAAAAAAAAAGTTTTTCCCCCCCTCTAAAGATAGTCTTCATTCCTCGGACATCACACCCAGCTTGGATATGAAACCAAAAGAAAAGACAAAATATTTCTGTGACCTTGTCAGCGGCCTTTGCGTTTTTGTTTTTTCCTCTCTCACTTTTGGTTTGGTTTTTGAGTTTGGTTAACCATTTGTTTGTAACCGAAGCTGCATTGTAGCCTTTTCTTTGCGCACTCTCGCTGCTGAGAAAGCTTTCCTGCCCGTCCTGCACTCAGTCAGGGAGCCCGCTGTCCCCTCGACCGTTTTTCATTGTGTTTCCCCCTTCCCCACCCGCCTCTGTCGGTGGTTTCTGTGGGGGTGTGTGTGTGTGCGCGTGCGCGTGTGTCCAGCTTTGTCTGCAGACCCTCAAAATGTTACATAGACGTCCTTTTTCGTATTTTTTTATTTGCCCTTACTAATAGCAGAGGTGTCCTCTTGCCCTGCGATGTCACCATTCCTCCACGTCCTGTGCAGAGAGTCCCAGCCGCGGCCCTTCCACCCCGAGTAGATCTCCGTGAACAAATGCAGAGTCTGGAGACATTTGTCCTCTGGATCTATTGTTCCCTCTGCCCAAAGGAAGTTTTGCCCGGAGGGAAGAGGCCACCGGGAGGATCGCTTAGTTGTAACGAGACTGGACTTTGTGGAGTGGAGAGCATTTGTGTTTGTCACTGTGCAGTAGTGCAGGCTGTCATTGAACTAACTCCCTGTAATTGCAGCCTTTTATGTCACCGCGCTACGCAGGCGGCCCCAGGCCCCCGATCAGAATGGGAAACCAGGTACTGTACCTTTTCATGTTCTCTCTCCCCTCACTTGGCCAGCCTTGGCCCTAGACGGACTTCGACGCAGATCACACTTTGGGGAAAGGACTGAGGGAAGGAGGGACAAGTTTAACGTGGCGGGTAGCTTAGCAGCAGGTCCCCAGAGATGGCTCTGTGTTTGTTCCGTGCCCACGGGGCAGCGTTTGGCCTGCCTCTCCTGGTTGGCTTTGGACAGCCATTCTGGAGTTGGGAGGGTGGGATTGTGGGGTCGGCTATTCTAGAGAAGGTGGTAATGCCCCTGCCCCTCCCTTCCAGCCCCTTCTTGGAAGAGGGTCTTCCTCCTTAATGAAGTTAATTGACAACGTGCATTTTTTCCTGGAAGCTTTTGAGAATTGCCAAGGCTGGTAAATATAATCCTGCTATTAGGGGAGAACTGGCCCGTAGGAATGCTTAGATCAGGAGCCTGGATGCAGCTGAGCAGGACATGCGTGAGCTTTTCTAGCGATGTCTGCCTGCTTCTGAGACCCCACTCTAAACAAGAAAGGATTTGTTCTTGTAATTAGAAGAGTGGTCTGTTTGTGGGGAGGGCTTTTCAGCCTGGGGTCGTATATGCCTTTCGGTGGCCCATTAGGGCTGCCAGGCCTAGGTGGTCTAGAGAAACTGGCTCCCTCACTGCCCTCCCTGGTTGTGCCCATCTGGGGCAGGAGGGGAGCCAGAGAGGTAAAGATGGATAGACGGACGTAAAAGAAACCTTAAGGAGACATCAGGGAAATGTCTTTTCGTGCCACAATATTTTTTAACACAGTCCTTTCAGTGACTTTGCAAAAGCCCTTCAAATAATTGACAGTACCAGTGCACCCAGCCCTGCCTTTGGAGCTGGGGGGTTAGACACCGGCTAGATGGGCGTTACCTGCGCGCCATGCTTCCCCTTCTCCAGGCTGTGCGAGAAAGCGAGTGAGACGACACGGGGACTGTGGAGAGACGCTCACACCCAGGGCCCCAGTTTTCATGTGAAGCAGCCTCTCAAGTTTCCACCTTTTTGTTTTTCTCCTAAAGTTCACTTTTTCCTAATTCCTCTGACATAAAGGGAGCACATTTGTATAAGAGGAATTAGAGACCCAGCTTTTTGAGCAAGAAGGGACCCTCGTCGCTACCCCAGATGAGGAAACAGAAGGTCAGAGTGAGCAATGACTTCGCGAGTCTCACAGGGGCTAGGCTGGAGTCGGTCTCGCTCCTGGCCCAGCACCGTGTCGACTCCTTACCCTGCTCGCTTAGGTTTCAGAGTGGCAAAGTGGCTAAAACAACCCCCCCCCT